CCCGCAATGGGCAGCGTAGCCGAGCTGACACGTTCGCGCGACTGTACCGTGCGTCCGATCGATGTGCTCGAGGTGCGCCACCAAGAAGATTGCACAGTCAACGTCGAGGTTCTCGCGTACTGCAAGGAGACGCTAACGAAGTGCGGTGTTTCTTTGTCAGAGATGATCGGGCTCCCTTTCACCCGTGAAGAAGTGGAAGTCCGGCAGCCTCTCGATTTCGCCCCCGTCAACCCAGCCGAGTTTGCAACTTCAGGTGAGCCTTCCGGTGCAGATGTTTCCGAAAGTGTTCGCCCGGCGCAAGCCGGTGCAAAGGCGGCTGCGGTGGCAAAGAGGGACAAGGCGGCGAGCAGGCCGGTACCACTCAACTCCTACGGGAGGAGCGTGACTGGGGGCCACTATGACTGCTGGGTGTATAGCATTCATGATGGCGTGAAGTATGTCGACTACGGTGAGGGCCCCAAGAGACTCGACATCATCAAGCAGCCCTCTTTCGGTCGTGGAACAGAAGGATGCGGGTATGTGATGGATGAGGACGGCTACATGGACCTCGAAGACCTGGGACTCGCGCTTCGCAAGGAGCTGCGACATCCCATTCCATGGAATATTCAGAATATCATGGATATCTTCAAGCTGGACAAGAAGCAGAGGTTCATTGGCCTTGTGCCCGGACGCAAGCCGGTGCGGAGACGTCCCATGTTCTCATTGGCTCTTCAAGCTGAAGGCCTCTCAAGGCCACGAGGACTGGCTCCAGATCGACGACTCCGGCATCGCGAAGGAGTGGTACGTGAACCCGGGGACTGACCTCGGGCGCTGGTCTGGCTGGAACGTTTGCAGCAACCCTCCAACTGTGCTTTATCACCGCACTGATAAGCGAAATTTCGCTAACATCATGCGGAACGGTCTGCTGCCAGGAGGAGGGGACCAGCACAAGACAGGACGACCTCACGTTTTCTTCGCTGACGTCCCCAGCACGAATGAAAATTACATCTCAGGTGTACGTGCGAACAAACCCCTGGAGATACAGATCGACCTCAGAATGGCCATTCGCGCAGGGCTTTGCTTTTTCAAGACGGAGAGCGATGGCGTCCTTACGCGCGACAAGGTGCCCAACTACACGATTATTTTTGCATTGGACGCTACAAATGGCGATGTATGGTACACTCGCTCCGAGCAATCGGATGCAGGTGCACCAGCTGAGGCGACTGAGGATGAACCCCAGGGAATGAAGCGCGACCAAGCCGTGGTTGATGATCGTTCAACAGCGCTGGAACGCATTGCTACAACGCGCACAAATGTGGCCTCTCCTCGCGCCCCGCAAGGGGAAGCGAAGAGACAGAAGACTTTCAACCCAATGGAGAACGTTGAGCTGAACGTCGCCACGTGCCCGGTTTGCAACAACAGTGTCTTCGAGGGGCAGGTGCACTGCTCATCATGTGGGCAGTTGTCTCCCCTCAATCCACGCCTGTTGAAAGAGCAACAGAAGAATTACATCGTGCAGCGTTCCAATCTGCTGAAGAAGATGGGCCTCAGCACCCACGTCACAGCTCAGGTCCTGGCATCTGTGGGAACATTTGACCTCCGCGAGGAGGATCGTAGCAGCATCATTCGTGGCTTGAACTCCCCGGACAGTGCTGTCATTCAGGAGGCACGGAAGAAGCTCAAGTCCGCCCTGAAGAACGGCTACCACTCTCTGCTTGACCGCTATGAACTCGACCTTCAATACAGGGTTCGTATGCTTGAGGTGGGCCGTCGGGAGGCGGACATGCTCCGCATGGAGTTGAGCGCAAATCTCGTCTTGGCTGCTCCTAAGCAGTCGCAAGCCCAGCGCACTCTGGGAGTTGGCCTCGGATCAACTTCGGAGTCGCGAATCGCAAGGCTCGCGTATATCAAGACAGAGTTGGAGTTCCTGCCCAACGAACTCCAAGATGCGCTTTCCTCTCGCAGCATCGGTTGTTGGAATGGCATCATCCATCTGCGAAGCAACACGTTGGACGACCTCCGCAACGAGATGGACTGGATTTTCAGCCAGAATGAGCGGCATGCACGTAACTCGATTGAATTTTCGAGGAACGAGAGCAGCAAACACCTTGCTCGCAATGCATCCCGCTATGCCGATACAAGTGCTCCCGCCGCCCGCGAGGGTGAGCATTGGAGCCGAGGCAGCTGGCAGAATTGGTCCGAATGGAGCGGATGGGGTAACAGTAGCGGAAGCTATTCGACTTGGCAGTGGCGCTGAAAGCGCAACTGTCATGGTTTGCACGTAACAATGGTTCCCTTGACCTTCTCCCTCTGTTGTGTTACTGTTTGGCTGCTTTGTGAAAGGCCCCGTTAACACGCAGAGGGGGGTGAAGAATTTGATCGGTCAGTCTGGGGTTTTACATCCATTGCATCCGCAGTGTGGCTGTTCAAGCGTAAAATGTGCGAGCAGCGCACTTGGACGGTTTGTTGTTTCCTTTTGGGCCCCAAACCGGTAACCCTTGAATCTAGAAGGCCTTGGTGTCTCACCAGCACGAAAAAGAACGACACAGGGGTCCGCAGGAAACCCGATGCGTCGGGGGCAAATCAACCCACCGATTCGGCTCCAAGCCACCAAAGAAGGGAGGCTGAAAACTTGAAATGTCCGGCTCTCATTTTGGGTTCTGAACAGCGGGGGTATGCCAGGATGCGGCCGGCGAAGCAGGCTTCCGCAGCGGGTGGACGGACAAACCTTGAAACAACCGACAAACCTTCCTTGTTCCTTCATGGCTTCTTGGGTTCCATGCGATTGCAAGGAGACGTTCAGATGGGGGTTCCAGGATTTGTCCAGGTTCATGTTTCCAGATTGGTTCGCATTGGCTTGACTCTGTTTCCATCAGAGGTTCCTCCCCATTTGAGTACTGGATTGATACAATGCCGCGGTCCTAACCATTTGTTCAAGGGGAAGGGTCACTGGAGTCACAAGTCGGTTGGATCCTCATAGCTCTACCCAGTCCCTGCATGCTGTATCCAGCAAGTAGCTATAGGTTGCCTTATTTCTATTCGACTCGGGCTCGCTTAAGCAAGTCGACCAGATCTTGGAACCGTTGGTCTGCAGATGTTTAGTAAGATCGATCACTGTTCGTTCCAGCTTGGGCAACTGAGTAGAACACATGTTGATCTAGCAGCTGACTGGCAGCAGTTGGTTTTAGCGACGCAAAAAGGTGTTTCTCAGCTCTGCCACACATATCCTTTCTGCCAATGTTAAATGAGTATCCCCATTTTGCTCACTCCCTGAAGTCCTGTTAATATGTTGGGAAGTTTTTTAGGCTTGACCTGGTCCCACACCCATTCCCTAAGACTTTCCCTCAGCGCGCGTAGGCAGCCCTGCGAACCCGCAGGCCAAGGGTAGCGGTCATCTGTCTTGGGCGGCTGGCTAGGGAACCGAAGGGATTCCAACCATTTGGGGCACATAATTGTTTTATTCTCCGGCGAACTGCTAGTTCCCGGGAGAAAAAATAGGCAGAACAACTGAGGTCACTAGGACTAGGACCCGTTCCTTTCAAAGGGAGCGACGGGCTACATTTATCAGTTTGCACTTGCCAGTGGGTTACCACAGTCACTAAGCATTTGCTAGTTAATTGAAATGACTTTCAATGGGGAACTTGCTTGAAGGTTGGTTGGCGAGTCATAAACTTACTTGCCGTGTTTCAGAACCGTGAAAACTGGTTTGCGGCCACAAAGGTAGCAATTGGGGAGTCGCTTTGATGGCTATCGGGGTCGTGATGGCGATGCTGAGTTTCAGTCGACTCAGCGGTGCTTCGATTGGCGATTTGGATTTGAAGCCAACCTCCAAACCGCAGGCTTCCAAGCCTGTTTCAAGGGGAACCTCTGTGCTCACGCTTTGGTATTGCAGCCTACTGTTCTAAAAGGCCTAGGGATATCCCGCTCAAACGCCTGGGCACCTCCCCCTAACTCTGACCGTGTTGGTTGGTCATATCTTTCTCCCACACACCCAGTAGCCCACTGTGTGCCTGTCTTTGAGGGGGTTCCTTTAATATCAGCTACCTAGGAAGGTGCCGATTCTTGTTGTCCCAGGGCCACTCTTTTCTTTTCTCTTTTGGGCTGGTTCTGGTGCTTTTGCTTTTCTCTTTTTCGGTGGCCCAAAAAAGGACAGATGCGGAGCACAAAGCGCCTGACAATTGCTAGGGCACCTTGAAGTCGATGTTCTTAAGTGACCATGGGAAAGGGGAGGGGTAGCCATTTCTGGGATCAGCACCCCAACACCCCCACCAACCGCACTGGCCGAGTTTTTCCCCACAGCTCAGTGGCCGGAGGACAACCAGCACCTTGAGGGCGTTAGGTACTTCATGTGAGTGAAACCAAATGTTGGCATTTTGTTCCTTGGCGCTGTTTTAGTTCTCAAGTTTGCCGTCGGCATGTTCAACCCAAGACTCGTTTCCATAAGAGCCGTTTGTACGTTCCTGTTCGTTTTGGCGGACTTTCGAAGTCAACCCCCATTCGAGGAATGGCAATCCTGGACCCAAGTTGGATGACAGAGTAAAGGATGGTCATATTAACACACGTCAAGTTTTCATGGTGGTTTGCACACTGTTTTCATGGGTTGACACCTTCAGCACATGTTTTATGGGTCGTTTTTTTTGTCTGGTCCTTTGGAATCCTTGCGGCAGTGGGCTTCCCCGGACTCCCTCCAGCTGCGAGCCCGCGCCAGAACCGGACGCCGGCGAGCTGGAAGCCCCGGGTGTCAAGCGTCGTGGGGTTTTGTTGTTTTTTCACCGGACGATGGGATGTGATTCATCTTTTTCACCCACAAAGGAAACTTGAGTCCCACCAGATGCAGCCTACGCCTTTGATTTCGGGTGGCTCTCCCAGAACGGACGAAAAGGGTAAGGACACAAGGCGAAGAGCCTCCTTCAGTCGGCATCTCTTTCTTGTGGGCTTTCACCACAGCAGTTTGCACTTTGCTCACGGTGTTTGCGGTAAATTCGGTCAAGGCTCAAGGGTAGGACCCTAGCCTTCTTGCGATGGCGGATGCGAAGAAAGTGGTGGTGGCACACAAGCACAACCAGAAGAGTTACGACGAGGCAATTGGGTGCGCGGGGCGGTTCAACTCTTTTGAGCATGAAGATCCTTTCGGGTGCTCCAGCGGATTCACAGAGTGCAACTCGCGATTCTGTAAGTTGTAACGGAACCATTCGGCTATAATTCACGCAACAAGGCCTCCAAACATGTGGGGCTAGCCAAGTCATTAGTGGGTTATAACCCAGGCGGGTAACCTCTTCCTAACTCGAATTGAGCATGCACCAAAGCTGTTGGTTCGGCGAGGACATGGGGCACAGTGTTTCCCAAAGGTTGCTCGGGTTTGTCCATCTGAATCTGGTGCTTCAAAAAGGAATCACGAAGATTTCCTCAAACATGGCCCTACCCGTAAGTTTGAAAAGAAATTTGGATGGAGATTCACTTCAGGGCCCCTTGCAGGACCTGGGATATGGGTTAAGGATTGAATGTTTGAGGGCCCCGATCTTGGCGTTGCCAATGGGTTGCAACCCTCCCGTGTGTAAGGGGTCGGACCTCCCTAGAAGGGTCCGGCTGAGCGTCTGGGCTGTCATTCTCCCTTGGCTTTTAATGGCTGGCAAGCCCTTGGTTACCGCAAAACCAAAACCAAGTTGCCAGATCCACTGGCATGCGAAGAGCGTCTCTCGATCAAACCCTTCGCAAGATGCATCGCCGACGGGTTGGTACCTGGAGTCTCCATGACCCCTAGAAAAAGGGGTCATGACCCCTTAATTTTGGGCAATGACCCCATTTTTAAAGGGTCGTGGAGACTCTAGGTATTTGCCTTTCGGGGAATCGAATCATTCCGTTGAGCGCCTTGCAGAATTTCGCAACCATCCACAGCATGTCGGTCACGGTCAAGTTGTGTTTTTTCGTTGAAAGCCCTTAAGGCTCACTTTGGATTGGCCCGAAATGAGATGTGTACTAGCCAAAGAAGGGAGTCACGGGGTTCGGAACCCTGGCACAAGGATTCAGCAAGTCAAATGAGCTCAGATGCCGGACCGCATGTTGGTTGAAAGTTGCAAGAAAAACCAAAAGGACGACAACCATTGTAGTGGTCACGATTTTCAGAAATCCCCAAGAGAGTTTCCTCTTTCCCCGTAAAGCCAACGGATAGATGGTGTCATATAATGAGGCGAATCTGGGCGTGTTCTAAACGTAGGAACTGTTCGGATGATTCGCATGGGAGCGCCCAAAAAAAACAAGACTTTTTGTTTGGCAAGATGGTGGAGGTTTCAAAAGCCCTGAGATGTCCCACACTTGAGCTCCTGGGGTTTTGGGCGCCCATCAAATGGGCGAGAAACATGAAACGCACCGAATCGCAGGCTGGTACTCCAAATACCCCTTGCCTTTGCTTAGTTGTTTCGAAGAAAACAACAAAACAAAAAAAACAATCGGTCTTCCACGGTAAATCCAACTCATTTTTAGTCAGAGGTCCAAATGATACAAACAAAAAGGGGTTCCTTTGGGGAGAACAACACCGGGGCGCACTCAGATTGCTTCCGACTGCTTTGGATCTGGGGCGCCCGCTTGGAATACGCCAAATCCTGGAAAAGGCCGGTACCCTCTGGCGGTCGCCCGGTTTGGGCTTAGGGTTGTTCAATCTGGGATATTCCAGAATCCATTAAACACCACCTGGATCGCCAGTTGCTGTTTCGTTCCTTTTCCATGAACTCAAAACCCGCAAAAGCCAGCCGTACAGCGACAGAACAAAGCGATTGCAACTTGGCGATCTAGGCACAGCCAGTAACATGTGGAGGGCAAGCGACCTTGCTTTATTCAGTTTGAACAACCCAGCCTAGGAAGAACCACAAATTTATTCAAGCCAACCGTCAATTTGGCGCTGTTTCCCTTGCATTCTACCTGCCAGGCCTGTGAGCATCTCGTAATGGCCCCAAAGTGCTCAGAACATGGGGTTTGCCTGGTGGATGGATGGATAAAGCCATTCTAAACCAGTGGAACCAATCTAGTAGCCAAACTCACCGATCAAGTTTTGCCACCTGAGTCATACTCAAAACCCTAGAATTAGAATGGTCTACCCAGAGCCATGTAAGGAGATAAACAGGCGGATATTCTGGCAAGGGGATGGCTTCCTGACTAACCTTCATCTACCCGAATCGGTTTTGAGCAAGTGACTCACGGTCCGCAGGCCCCTCATTTCCCAACAAACACCTCAGAATGCGCCGCGGCCTATGCCAAGCTTGCAGATTCGACCGCCTGCCTTTTTTTTTTTTGGGGTTGAACGGGAACATAAAGGGAACTCGGGCTGTCCATTTTCCGATCCGCGAAAAGTCGACAACTTGTTCGTTAAACTCGGAATCCCAACCACTGAACCAACTAAAAACCTAAACAAGTGTATTGACGCGGGTGGCGAGGAACCACCAAGAAAAGGGCAAACAGTCGAACTGGTCAGCTTAAAGCCTGGCAGGAGCGCCGTAATTGTGGAATCCGGCAAATGCCAAACTCATCAAAAAGAAACATAGCAGACCTTCAGCCGGTCAGAGCTACTTGCCCAGAAGTGCTGACTTCGGCTTTCAAGTCTGGGACACTTATTCAGTTGTGCGATGTGTTGTCCGAATTCAGTCAGCCAATCCGCGGAACTTAGCAAGTCGCCCCCAACCTTTTGAGAGTCCGGGTGCCCGGCTAGTTGTTTGCTGCACTTTTACCGATTAAAAGGGAAAATGAAGGAAAATCCAAACGGCACACAGTCCAAATGGTGTGGGTTCAGGAAGTGGACCCCCGAAAAAAGCAGGATTAAGCCGTGCAATAACCAATCTTTTAATTGGAATCTTGAGGCTCCAGGCATTGACTTTCTCGTAACTACGATTTCGAGCGAACCTCTCCCACCAATCTCCCTCCTCACGCGGTGGCAGCCAGTTTGGGGCGAGTACCTTCGATGCCCCCGGAAAGCCCGGCCGTTTTAAGTTGGTTGGTATGTTTTGCGGGGTAAATGCATGCTTGCTCAGTCAAGGGTTAACGTCATAGCCTTAAAAGGGCTATTGGGTGTATGGGGTAAAACGCCAACCCAGTTTTGCATGAGATGGGTTCTTGGGGTAGGCTCCCCACACGGCCGATTCGATTAGGACTTAACTGCACCTGGAGCCTCCATTGCTACCTTAATTTTTGCAACGAAGTATTTTTGCTCGTGACACGTTCTTCTCAAAAAAACGCTCGTTTTAACAGAAAGTGCTCGAGACATCCGCGCAAATGCAATTTGCTACCTGCGATTCGTAGCATTTTTTTGAATTTGCGCTCGTTTGCGCTTTTTTGCGCAGATTTGCGCTCGTTTTGCACTTTTTTTGCACGTTTTTGCGCCCGTTCTGGCGGCAACTTGACCATGGGGAAGGAAAACACACGGCCGAATGGGATTTCTGCCCGAATCGTCAAAAAGCGCTCGGAAGCGAATGAGAGGCCAAAAGTGCTACGTCGAGTCAATTTTGGTATCGAACAAGGGGGGAGGCAGAAATTTATGCTACGATGGAGGTTCCAGGCAGAAATCAATGCCCGGCGTCCAAAATCCACGGCAACAACTGCAAATTCCACAGCCCTAAGGGTCATGACCCCGGGACCCAATGCAGACCCCATAAGGCATAGAACGTCCCAACTCGCCCACCGAACAAGCGCAAACGCCAGGGAATCGACTTGGAGACAAAGTAAACAGATGCCAGATCCTAAGCCCTGAAACTAAACATACGTACACTAGAATGGCCACCGCGTCTAAGTAGAACTTGTAGTTGATTTTGATTCTGGACCGTGTCCCCGTTTTAGTGGGAGCTCGGACATCCCTTTGTGGAGCCCGACACCGCCCTATTGCGAACATGTTATAATCCGGGGTCAACATGCATAAGGAGTTACGGCATGGCCACGAAATGGCTACTCACCACGTCAGGTGCCAAATGGTAGCGCAGAAGCTCAGCACATGCCAAATCGGAACCCGCTGAAGTGCACACACGCACAGACCCTGTCTTGGGAACACTGCCAGATGTTGTTCGCCTTTAGGTTTTTTCCCATGTTTCCTCAGTCTTGCCTTTCAACCAGCTAAAAGTCGGCAAACTCGCGTTGGCCCCAAGCCACATTGCTTTGGACGCGCTTCGCGCTCTGGGCAGGACTGCTACTCGGAAGAGTACGAGCTTCGCTGCTTCGAGGATAGATTGGCTTGCTTCCGGTGCCGTCTTTCTGCGCACTCAGCAGTCGAATCTCTTGAACGAGAGGGGCTTGCATCTTTGATGGGAAACCGAAAACACAACCGAAATGCCATGCCCTATGGCCCTCCAAAGCCTTCCAATGTTTCACTCATTCGTTGGGGGTTGGGGGGAACAGGGTGGGTGGTAGGAATCAACTTGCCTGAACAAGCCCTAAGACCTGTTAGAACGAATATTTTTGGCTATAGTCCCCAGCCACCCACCCCGGCCATCAATCTATTGGCTGCTTTGTGGTGCTGTGGGTCTTCGGCCAGGTGGTTAGCTACTCCTAGAGGCTTCAGAAGTGGGCTACCAAAGGCTGTGACTAGGTCTGACTACGGCACACCCTGCAAGGTGAACATGCTCCCCTGGGCTCTTCCCTTTCAAATCAGACAAAAAAGGACTTGGCGCCCAAAAACAGGCTTGCTGGAAATCCAGACAAAGTGCTGGCGCCATTCGCCCCATGGAAACGTGCGCCTTGTTTTCATGCTGGTTCCAATGTCTTGTTTTCTCCGACAACGAGGACTCTTCTTGCGTCTACATCCACCGAACGATAGGTACGGGCCGCATGAGCGCAGAGTCCACCACTCACGAGGACACCAAGAAGCGTGGGACGTGGTCGGAAGCGCATGGGAATCTGAAAACGGATATTCTTTTTGAGAGGGAATCCCTTCGCATGTGGACCTCTGAACCCATGAAATGTCCAGTTCGGGTCCCCGAGTAAAATTCACAGCCACATGGTGGCTTTAGATGCTCAAAACCCACTTTCACGTGGGCAAGGTTGGGTTCAGAAGTTGGCAACTGACTTCGCGGGACGCAGTTCCTGGAATCAGCTTCCCTATTGCTTCCCTATTGGTGGTTTGGGAATTTGTGTTCTCGGGGATTTGCATCCTAGTACCTATTCAAACCAAATGGGGAAGGTACCCCTTAAAGGTGATGAAAGAAAAAAGCATTCGAGGGTTCATGTGAGGTATAGTTAGGTCGGATTTAAGTTCCTTTGGAGTCCACCCTATAAGCCCTATTTGGGGGGGGGGACTTCCCCTTCAGCCTATTCAGTTCGAACAAAAGATCGGGCGTTGACAGCGTCTTCGGTCTCCTTTGGGGATGTGACGAGCTATGGTACTTGGCGACCTGAGATCGTCTTTTCGAGGCTAAGCGGCTACCTTTGGTGGCTTGAGGGAAACGGTACGTTCCTTTTTCTTCTTTTCTTCTTTTCTTCTTTCCTTCTTTGTGTGTTTCGGGTCTCAAGAAAGAAACCCAGGGACTTTGAACCTTTCACTTGGGGTGACATGTGACTTTAAAAAGGGGCCTGGGCAAAATCGTTTTGCTAAAATGCTTGTCCTATAGAATCATGAATCAATCATGACTACACGTGAATAAAGTACCCCACAACCCGATTCTACGTTTATTTTGGCCCTATTACCGCTCGAATGGCAACTGTTCTTTTGTGGGGAAGAATAGAAAATTGAAATGAAGAACCCCCTCGTTGGGATGGAAGGAGCCAGAATGGCAATTGCGGCAGGTGGGTGGCAAGGTCAAGGTTCAGTGGGAGGACGGAAAAAGCGAGACGTTCAACGCGAAGATCGAGACGTGAGGCTTCCAAAAGCTCCGATGCTCCCATGTAGAGTAGGAATGGCTAGGAATGGTCAACTGAGTGGTTTTCATTTTTTTTGACCGATTTTATGAGGTTGCTGTTTCGGAGATCTTGGCCCTATTAGATTTAGAGTTTTGACTGTATGAGCTGACAAGCATTACTGGTGTGCTCTTGCAGCGCAAGAAGTGAAGCCATAGATGTCCACCACCCAATTCGATTGCGACCTCGGCAGTGTGGGCAGCAGGGCATCAAGCTTCCTTTAGCATTCCACGTTGAATGTCACATAGGTACATTTCCACCTTGTTTGCATACGTCTAAGGGGAGGTCAGCCCGACTCTTCAACTGCCGAGCGCCTCCTGCTGGATCAAGGCTGTCCTGCCCGAGACATGGTGGGTTCCCCATGTCGTGAGCAACGGCCAGAACTGATTTCGAGTGGACATGTTAACTTTATTTGGGGCACACAGAAACTTGGCCGACTATGTTGAGTTCCATTGTTTCGGAGGCTAGTTTTTGTTTTTCCTGTTTTCATTTGTTGGCTGGCGTATTCACATTGACAGGACCAAACCCCGCCACCGCACGCCACCGAGCAGGCTTGTATGAATGCTTTACCAGGTACATTTCCACTCGAAGCAGACGGAAACCTTTCCATCGGTACAGCTCGACACCACAACTCCACATGTCAATTGCACAGCCTTTGCACTTGGATCTGTTTGGACTCGACGCGAACGGTTGAGGCCGTTCCGATTGCGGGCTTTCCGGCCGGATCGCTCGAAGCTGCGGGCTCCCGGCTTTTCGAGCCCAGGCAGGCTGGCAGCAAAAAGCGCAGTGAGGGTGCCTGCCAGACACACAGCAGCGCTCTTTGTTTCTTTGTTTGCTCTTTTCTTTGGAGCCTTCGTTTCGACCAAAATACCATGCCGATTCTGGTTTCCATGAAGCCGTGGTTGTTCAAGCCGGTTGGGGACCCCAAGCCTACTCACACCGCGGCTGGCCACTCATGGGCTGTGTGAAATCCACTCCCGCGGGGGACCCTACAAAAGTGGTGTATTCAGATGTGCACGGCTACCAGGACTACCCAGAGGCGGGCTATGGTCTGAACCAAGAGGGCTAGAACTACTGGGCATCAGTTGTCCGTCTCGGGCAAACATCCATCAGCGTTTTTGATAGCTTCGGGACTCACAAAGCGGGTGTGGCCCGGTTTTTGTGGACTTCTTAACCTTGCGCAGCAAAGCAGTTTGCCCATTTGGCCCTACCTAGCCCCTTCTTTGCAGGACCGCTACGCGGAAGAGTATGAGTTTCGCTGCTTTGAGGAGGGATTCGCTTGCGCCTCGAGTGAAGCCGGGGATTCCTATGTTAGAATCCAATTCTGCTTAGAGCTGCACCCGAAGCCCAGTCCAGCGATGCTTACAATGTTTCATGTGGGGACCTTGTCTTGTTTGGCTGGAACTGCGCTGCGCCAATCATGCCCTGGCGAAACAAATGTATAATGCGCATAGTTACTCCCTCCCGTGTGTGATTTGGTTTGGGTTCATATTCCCCTCTCTGAAACCTCAATGAAATTTGCCACACACATGCGCCTTTGCTCCTGATATCCCTTTTTGCTCCCAGCGATTCCGGGGCAAAACGAACGCGACGCATCAGGCTTTGAGCAAACCAGAAACAGGCACATCTTTTGAGCAAGCTTCGAGGGGTTTCAACAGATTGCCGGGTACAAACTTTCGCCTTGGGCTTAAGTTGGCAAATCCAGTCCCCCGCGTCGCTCCTTTGACTTTGAGGCTTTGAGTCTTTGAGTGAGTGCCCGCCGTTTCCTTTCACCTTCACAGGGGCATGGCTCTTGAACAGGCTTTTTGTCGGGTCTGGGAAGGATGGAGAAACGGGGGCTATCTGGTTGATCCTATGGCCATGGGCACCACTTCACGAAGCCGGCAGATGAAACAACGGCGCAAACCAAACCAGACTCTTGCCGAACCATTTACGTAATTTCGGGCCCATCGTCTACGAAGTATGTGCCACGCTCCTTTACACCCGTTTTGTTTTTTTCTCATGGCCAGGCAACCAACAAAAAAGGATTGGCCGGAAAAGAGGTCACCGCGTGGTGGCGTTTTTTTCACAGCGCGAGGACGGCTCCTGCGTCTACATCAGAAGGTGCATGGGCCCAGGCCGCAATTCCACAGAGTCCGAAACCACCGAGACGATCCAGAAGCGTGGGAAGTGGTCGCAGGCGCGGGAAACGCCGAAGCCAACAGCCCTGTGGTCAACAAAAATATGGCCGTTCTCTTGTTCAATTTGTCCTAGGGCTGGTAACAAACTAGGGCTGGGTTGGTTGGTTGGTTGGTTGGTTGGTTGGTTGGTTGGTTGGTTGGTTGGTTGGTTGGTTGGTTGGTTGGTTGGTTGGTTGGTTGGTTGGTTGGCTGGGTGATTGGTTGGTTGGTTGGTTGGTTGGGTGGGTGGTTGGTTGGTTGGTTGGTTGGTTGGTTGGTTGGTTGGTTGGTTGGTTGGTTGGTTGGCTTGCCGCAGCCCCTGCATCACCAGGCTCACGTGGTTGCTGTTGGCTCTGATTGGGAGTTGGGAGTTGCTGGGGGCTGGGTCTTGGGGTGGTTTGGGGTTGATTTAGGCGAAGCGAAGCTGACACCTAGGCTGGTGTTGGTTGGGTTTAGGGGTTGGCTTTCGGTGGTTTTGGGGTTGGCTTGGAGCTGATTTGTGTTGGGCGTGCTGCTGGCAAAGGTACCCGCCAGTTCCTGTCAGGATGTGGTTGCGTGAGTTTTGGTCTCGTTTAGGATTGGTTTTGGAGCGCCCCAAACCACCAAAACTAGTCCGCAACTCACGCAACCACATCCTATAGCAACACTGAAAGCACCGCTTAACCAGCAGCGCATTCAGCACATCAGCTCCAGGCAACCCGAAATCCACGCAAAGACAACCCCAAACTCGCCCTGGAGTTTTGTGGAAAACCAGCCCTAGGAAAAACCCTCTACTATTAGTGGGATGTGACCCACGTGGCCAAGAGGTGTGGAGCAAATTGCATGTCAGGCGGCCCCAAGAAAGCTTCTTTGAGACATGCTTCATTTTTGCGACCTCAGGAGAGAGAGGATTTTAACACGCGAGTCCGAAGCAAGCCCAAATAAAGTTGATTTGGGAGCGCTAAAATTGAACCGCCGAAGCTCTCATTGAAAAGCGGTTTCCACTGGTGGAAAGAGCTGAACATACGATTTTTCAGCCACAGGGCTCATAGTTTTTCATTGCGAGCAAGCACTTTATTTCTGGAAACGTTGCATCTGTCGTCTGCATCTGTCGTTTGCATCTGTCGTTTGCATCTTTTGTTTGCGCGTGGTGCCCCAAATATTACAAGGCGCGGAAAACCACCCCAAAACACCTCCAAACCACTGGCCCCCAAACCGCTCAGAAGTGGACCATGGGATTTGAGCGCCTCACGACTTGGCCAGAATCTGAGACTTAGGGCAGCAAACAGTTTGCGCTTGCCTGAGTGGGGCTGCGCGTTTTCCACTTCCACGTCTTCCAGGTCGAGGATTTGTTTGAATAGGTATGTCAGAAGAGGGCTTGAAAAGCACGCAGCCTTTGCAGCATGTGGGTGGCAGTCCCGCCTCCCCTCCGAAGCTTTGGAATCTTGGACTGGTGCTCGGATGGACATGAGGGTGGCAGGTCCCGCCTCCGCTTTGGAATCTTGGAGCAATGTCTAGCAAGGAAGGATTATCTGCGCTGGAAGACGCACCCGGCGTGATGTTCCCTTTGCCATATCAGCATCTGACGTATGCCTTACATCGCACTTTGGACCGAAAAGGCAATCTCGCCTATTCCAAACGGCTCCGCAATTGCAAAAATCGATTGATCGTACCATTTTCCTGACACTCCTAAACCCAGCAGCCGAGCTAGTGCGGTGGAGCGAGGAGGGCAAAAGCACCTACACTGGATGTGGAACACTTGCTGAATACTCTGAAGATCTGGGCTGGTTGACTCACTGAATTCGGTGGCCCGTGCCTCAACCCACGTCAGGTTGGCACTTTCACCCACCAATTGGGGAGCACTTCAACATAAGCAGGCCCATGGCAGTGAATGGCAAAGAACTCGCAGAGCAACTTGAATTTATGCAAGCCCTAGCCCAGGTGAGCCACAGCTTGCCGTTAAGTACTCACAGCTTACGGACATCCACAAAGAGCTTGAGAAGACCTTCCCTGACCTCAAGCACAACTTGAAGAGAAAGGCCAACTTGGCACACTACTTGAGCGATGCTACCATCATACGTAACCATGCCAGGAGGCTTCGTTACAATGGGCCTGTAAGAGCCTGACTGGCAGACAGCCCTGCAGCTGCACTACTACCCATGTCACTCCAGCTCTGTTCCTGCAGCCAAGGGTGGCAAAGCTAGAGGAGTTGAAGAACTTGCTTGAGACGGACGTCCCAGAGACACCAGTTAAAAGAGTCACAAAATCTCGACACAAAGCACTTTGCTGAAAGAGGCCCTTAAGACTGCGCCAGTGCCAGCCAGGAAAAAGCGTTAAAAAGCCTGGTGAAACGACATGCAAGTAAGCCCACAGCCAATCTTAGGAGGCCAGCTGCGGAGAAGGACGCAGCCAAGAAGCAAAAACATGATGAGAGGGAAACCTTCAAGACAGGAAGCCTGCAGATCATGGTCTACAAGAAAGCCAAAAGTGTAAGCAGGGCAGGCTTCTTTGCCGTTGGCAAGTTTTAGAATGTAGACCAACATAGGAATGCAGCAGCCAAGCTCTGAGAAGGGTGCCAATCTAGGAGAGGTGCTGGTGGCAAAAGCCAACCTGTAGCGCGTTTCCGTCGCAGCCTGGCTCCAGAATCTTGCTGGTGCTATGGCCCGAGTCTTTCATGTCACTAAAAAGCAAGATCACAGGTGGGGACTTTCACACGTGAGCCCAACTTGGGCATGGAATGAAGAAATGCGCTGGCTAGCCTAGCTGGGAGGTTGTTGGCTCTAAGTTGGCTGGATAGCCACGCAAAATTTGCATTTCGCTTGTTCTAAACAGGGTTTCGCCTTCGAATATTCGATTGATTTTAGACCAGTTGAATCTGCGATTGAAATGTTCAATCTCGATTGGTTTTTTTCAATCTCAGAGCCTTTGGGTTCTTCAACTCGGCTTCCATTATGCGACAGTGTCTTCATAGTTGTAAGTCTTCTTGTACGCTACTTGGCGGGTGTCGTCTGTTCGTGCCGCATTTTTGTGGCTTTAAAGGAAGGCCTTGTCTTTCCTTCGTTTTTTGTGTGTGTGTGGGGGGGGACATAGTTGCTAAAAAGGCTGTCCCATAGTCATGACTACATGTGGATTTAAAGTACCCCACACGGATTCTAATTATGTTGGCCCTATTCCCGCTACAATGGCAACTGTTTGGTGGAAGACTAGAAACATTAAATGAAGAAGCCCTCTCCCTCCTGGGATGGAAGGCGCCAGAATGCAGAATGGCAATTGTTCGCCGCAGGGGGAGGCTGGCAGGATGAAGCCTCAGTGGCACACGATCGAGAAGTGAGGCTTCCAACAGCTCCATGGGATACCCTTTCCCCTTTAGAGCAGGAATGGCTAGGAATGGTCAACAGGGTGTTTTCATTTGTGTTGACCGATTTTGTGCGGTTGCTGTTTCGGAGATCTTGGCCCTTTTTAGACTTTTTGACTGTTTGAGCTGACAAGTATGACTGGTGTACTCGTGCAGCGCGAGAAGGGAAGCCATAGATTTCCACCACCCAATTCGATTGCGAACTCGGCAGTGAGGGGAGCATTCCAGGTTGAATGTCACACGGACACATTCCCACCTTGTTTACATACGTCTAGGGGGGCGGGTCAGCCCGACTCTTCAACTGCCGAGCGCCTCCTGCTGGATCAAGGCTGTCCTGCCCGAAACATGGTAGGTTCCCCATGTCGTGAGCAACGGCCAGAACTGATTTCGAGTGGACATGTTAACTCCATTTTGGGGCACACAGAAAAGAAGTCTCGTCACCAACTTGGCCGACGATGTTGAGTTCCATTGTTTCGGAGGCTAGTTTTTTTTTTTATATATTTTTTTGTTTTTTAATTTGTTGGCTGACGTATTCACATTTGACAGGACCAAACCCCGCCACCGCATGCCACCGAGCAGGCTTGTATGAATGCTTTACCAGAGGCATTTCTACTCGAAGCAGACGAAAACCTTTCCATCGGTACAGCTCGACATCGCAACCCCACATGTCAAAAGGACAGCCTTTGCACTTGGATCTGTTTGGACTCGATGCGAACGGTGGAGGCCGTTCTGATTGCGGGCTTTCCGGCCGGATCGCTCGAAACTGCGGGCTCCCGGTCGAGCCCAGGCAGGCTGGCAGCAAAAAGCGCAGTGAGGGTGCCTGCCAGACACACAGCAGCGCTCTTTGTTTCTTTGTTTGCTCTTTTCTTTGGAGCCTTCGTTTCGACCAAAATACCATGCCGATTCTGGTTTCCATGAAGCCGTGGTTGTTCAAGCCGGTTGGGCAGGCCAAGCCTCATTTTCACACTGCAGCTGGCCACTCATGGGCTGTGCGAAATCCACTCCCGCGAAGGGGACCTTCTTGTAGGGACGACAGCAGCCAAATGAAGGTGGATTTTTGGCGGAGGGGGCAAAGCAGGTGCTCAAGCCCTGCCTTGCTCAGCGGCCGCCCGAGGAAGTAGCCCAATCCCCCACTACATATGAGGCCCGGACTTTCTCAACTTCGCAGATGGTTGGCCTCTGCACGGCATCCGGATCATGTACCGACTGCCTTGCACTCATAAACGAACCAGTTTCGCCGGTGCCTTCTCAGCCCTTCAGCATGCAGTATTGACAGAAGGCCGATGTATGGAGAATGCCATCTACTAAATGGCTGGCGCCTTCTGCACGGATGCTCCCCCAGTTGGCCGACTGCCCCAGAGAATGGCTGCCGGGCCTGCGCCGGTTGTGGTGACGAGTTGATTCACATGCGACAAGCTTCGCTGCTTCGAGGAGGGATTCGCTTGTGATGTAGAATCCAATTCCGCTTAGTGTTGCACCCGAAACCCAGTCCAGCGATGCTCACAATGTTTCATGTGGGGACCTTTGTCTTGTTGCTTGGTTTCTGTCGGGGTGTGTTGGTTTGGGACGGCATCCAAATAGAGGCTGGAACTGCGCTGCGCCAAGCATTTTTTGGGGGGACAAAGGCTAATCCTGTATCAGGTTGGAAGGCTTGGGTTTACAGGCTTCATTCTGCAAGGAGTGTATTGGATCATGCGGGGCCTTTTGGCTCAAGTATGATCCAAACTGGCTAAATTTTAACTTCTGGTTTTGCGTGTTCGGCAAGGGTTACTTGTCGAATGTTGGCAGTTCCAGGAGTTCACTTGGCCGTTCACACGGATCGGCCACTCCTGTCCGCAGGCGCCTACCTTGACTTCAAGCGCCATGTGGGCACTTTGCTGGAGCAGGGGAATCATGGCCAGGCCCGGCTGCTCTGGCTTTCGGCTGTGGAAGTGTTGCATGCCCCCTTCATGCAAACGCCCCTGCCCGTGGTTGATAGTGGGGAGATACCCCACTTACAATTTGCACCCTGCACTGATGACCAGTGTGCAAGATGTGACTTGTCTCTTGGCGGCTTCAAGTTCCCGTTCATTGGCACCTGGTGTCGGCGTGCAGTCTTGGCTCAAGAAGGTGTATCTGCAGAGGAGGCCTAGGCCGCCTATCATGGGAGGATTGCCTGTCAGAGGCCATGGTGGCTGAAGCAGGCAGTGGCCTCCGTGCCCAGGACATCATCCCGATGTATGTCTCCGCCATTGCTGGCCGGGTGGAATCGGCTTCAGGGGCTTCATGGGGACCTGGAGGAGATGGAGCTTGGGGTCTCGGAGTTGGACCGAGCCATGGCCCAGGGAGGGTGACTCCCTGGCCAAAGCCACAGCGGGGAGGCTTCTCCGTGGGTGGCTGGATGAAGGGAGGAGGAACCTTCTTCTGGGCGGGTTTTGCGCCTACTCGTAGCAGGGCTCACTCTGTTTGCGCATCATGCGGCATCCACCAATGCGAAGCCTGCCCCATCCGTTGCTGCCAAGGCTCTACCCTGGGGGCTGGCGTTTCGCGGTGACGCCACTCCTGGGCGCTATGCCACTGAAGCCATGGAGCACTCTGGGGGCGACTCGGGCGGCTCTGGCGAGGGGCTTATGTCTCCAGGAGGCCAATGTTCGTGCCTTTCGGCAGAAGCACGGACTGATGCAGGACTCCGACTTCGGCTTCGCCTTTGAGGCCTTCGAGGATGCCGTCCGCGTGGGTGGCGCTGAATGGGCGCGGGTGCGGGCGGAGCAACAAGCCTTCTCCCAGCAGCTGCGGCAGTGGTGGAGGTGGATCCCTGGCGAGTGACGCCGGTGGGGCCATCGACCCTCCGCCGGCCGGCGGTGCGGCTCCCAACGAGCAACGTGGGCCTGCGGTTGAGGCAGAACCCGGTGGATACCAGGTGCCCGGCAGAGCCAGCCGAGGTCCCGGGCAACTTCTTGGAGATCCCGGAGTGCTTGGGCTTGAACGTGAGGGGGAAGTCCGCCCAGATCCCTTCGATCGGCGTGGGCGATGGCGAAGTACTCCACGTGAGCCCCGGACAAGGGAACACCTTGCCGCTGGGCCAGCAAACCACCTGGAGGCTGCATGCTGGGAAGGCTGCAGCCGTGACTGCCGTGGGGATGCCCGCCAAGAAGAGGGCGTTGTTGTAGATCAGCGACGGATTTGGCCCTTGGTGCGGCGCTCGCTCTACCATGGAGATGTCGTCATCGTCCACTGCATGGCGGGGCGTCACCGAGCCGCTCTGGCGGCGGCGATGTGGCTGGCAATGCTGAAGGGGATCAGGTGGAGATCACCAAGACCCTGCAGCTGGCCGGATGGGACCAGGTGCTGGCGAGCTCCTCAGCAGGTGTCTGAGCCGGTGTGCACCGGTTTCATGGCCAAGAGCCAGGTCCACGTCAGCACAGCCAAGGGCTACCCGCTCTGCCAGCACAAGCAGGCATGGCCTACCCGCTGACCACCTCGGACAAGTTCGAGGCCATCGCATGGGAGCAGCGCTTTTGCCGGACTTGCCTGAGCAAGTCCGGCGAGTTTCCTCCCTCAGTGAGCCGATTTTGGCCCATGGGCGCCGGATTCGGGCTGCCCGAATTTAGTCCCCCATTTTGCACGCCATAGGAGTGCCGCGGGGCATTTGCCTGATCCATTCTTCCGTGTGGAAAACGGGAGCGGCATGGACAACGCGCCCTCGGCCAAGGAGGAAGACGTGCTCGGGGCGGACACCACGAAGTTCGTCTTTGTGCCATTGGACGTGGTCATGCGCTACCACGCGAGAGCCCGGCGCACCTCGGCCAGCCTGCCCCATGCCAGCCGACTCGTACGAAGCACGGGATGCCCACTGGGTCCCTGCCGGGAATTTCTCGGCGCCGACCAAGGAGCGCCAGCAGGCGTCACCTGCCAAGCCGGGCTAGCCAAGGAGTGTCGGGCGGCGAAGAAGTCTTGAGGGTGCCCTGGGGGGGAGGGGGTACCTCCGTGGGCAGCCGCGCCCGCTCCTCGGGATGCAGCGGTGGCAATCCGAGTGTGATGGCCAGCGGAGTCATTGCCCAGCTGCGCATAGCTCTGGGATCGAAATCCAGCCAGTGTTGCCTTCGGCCACACGCCTCCAACGGCGGCATCCGTGGCACGTGGAGTCGGGCATGCCCTTCGCGGACCGCCCACCAACTGACCGAGACAGCAATTGCGAAGGCCAGGGTGGCCGAATATTCCGCTTCTTCTTTCGACGGGAACTGGTGCCTCCCCTGGGTGTCCTCCCAAGGATCCCACTCCCATGCTGCATGCTGATGGTGGCATTCGCAAGGGTGAATCAGCTCGATCTCATGGATGTTGTGCCGCAGCCGCTGGTGTTTGCAACGCGCTGACATGAAAACGCATGCCGAGTACGTCGTGTCGTACCAGAGGCCGGACTCCATCATGGTCTCCTCCAATGGAGGCTTCGAGCCGGGTTCTCCCGCAGGGCCCCCCTGCCATCGTCCGTTATAGCCTGGAGCTGCCTCAGAATCCAGGAACATGCCGCATTGTCCACATCCACCCGCCTTTGGTTCTTGGGGTCAAGCCCTTCTGGGTGTACCTCAGAACGCAGCGGTTTAGGACCTGGGCGGCCGTCCGCAAAGGTTCTAGGGATCTCTCTGGCCCTGGATTTCGTGGAGCAGTCCAGGGCTGCTGCTGTGAAGGCTGCGGACCGCATCGGTGCCTCCAGTGCTTGCTGCCTCAACGGGTTGGACAGGTCGTGCCCCGGGTCCAGCGACCAGTCGATGGGCAGCACCCTCCAGCCACAGAAGAGAAACTTGCCAGGAGCATGTTGGGACCACACATGAGGTCGACCATCAACGGGCCGTCTTCCTGGGATCCGGTGTGGGGGTGCAAGACTCCCACCGGGTCCCACGGTCACAGTGGGCATCACCGTTCGTGCAGGGGCACACCTGTACGACGGACGACTGGCTGCCGCTCTACGTAGACTTTGTCCTCGCCAATTTGCAGGCGGAGCTGCCTGCGCTGCAGGGCAAACGGCTGGCATGTGATTGCGGCCCGGACGGTGTCTGCGAGGCAGATGCGCTGGCTGGGATGGTCTTTGATGCGACCCATCCGCATGCCGAGGCCAGCCTGCCCAGAGTCACTGGGCGGCAGCATAGGCAGGCCAGGACCTCTGTGCCCTGGCGGCTATCATGGGATCGCTCCGCAGCAGTCGTCCAACGTGGGAAGGACTTCCAACAGGGTTGCCGTGGTGGTTTACTGCAGATGCGGCAAAATGGGTGTCTGCATCCAGCCCATATCCTACCAGAGGCGGGATGGAGGCCTTGTGGTTGTAGGCTCCATGCTGCTTGCCCTCCGCCAGCCGCTGGCGCCTCCGACTAGCGTTGGACGAGGAGGGTGGCCCCAAGGGCCCGTCCCATTCCATCGTTCCTGATTCAACAGGTCCTCCAACATGGGCCACTGAAAAGATTGGAACCACTCAGCCGGATAGAGCTTGCGAAAGGCCAAAATCACATCCTCCTGAGGAAACCAGAATGACATCGACTGGAGTTACCTCGAAGCGCGATCTGGGTTTGCTGGGACTCTTTGTCGTCCTCATGTGGGGCGACTTCGCCCTCCCTCACGGTTTCATCAAGGGCCTTCCCGCGGTGGGCTATGCCCCTCATTACGGGGTCTTCCCCCACCAGCCCGTTAAGGCAATCGCCCACTCGGAGGTGTTGGCTGGCTGGGAGGAGCACAATGCCGCCACCATCGCGGGAGTGCGGCCGGGTTCCACAGACTCCTTCGTCCTCGAGCAGTCCACGAAGGATCACAAGGAGGGGTTTTGCACCCCCCCGATGAACCTGAGCCAGCTCAAGCGGTATGCCAAAGGAGACCCCTACCGGCTCATACCTCGTTGTGTCATCACACAGGCGTCCGGCAAGCAACGTCTAATAGACGACGCAGCACGGGGCGGGCAATCCGCATCGTCAAGAGATGCCAACAAACTTGTTTTGTGCACGCCGCTCCGCCCAGCGCTCCACTGCAGCCTGCCTTCAGGAGTGCACCTGGGAGCGGTTCGCGCAGCAGGGGCAGTGGACGGGGGCCGGAGACGATTGGCCGAATGCCTACCGCCACTGTCCTATGTCACGACAGGAGGCCCTGGCCTGTGTGGTAGTCTGGTACCACCAGGCATGGCAGGGGCCCGCTTCCAAGTGTATCACGCCCTCTTGTTCGGCCTTCCTTTGGCGGTCACCTCCTTTAACCGCTACTCTCGGATGGCGGAGGCTTTCTGGCAATCATGGTGTCCATGTATTTCGATGACAGTCACATCACCGACCGCGCAGTCCACGGCCCATCAGCCCAGTGGAGCTTTGGCAATGACCTGCTGGGCACCCTGTTTGCCGAGCAGAAGCGCCAGGGAGCTGCGGATGTCGGTACCTTCTTGGGTCTTGACTTCGACCTCTCGGAGATCCACACACATGGGCGTGCGCGTTTTTGGTTTCGAGAGCGACTCGAGCAGAAGGTGCTCACCTTCATGCGTGACGCCAGGAAGAGCGGGAAGTTCACCCCGGGTCATGAAGCCGCGAAACTCTACGGCATGGTCAACTTCCTGGAGCATGGCCTCTTCCAGGCACTGAAGGAGCACCAGTACGGGGGCTCCAGCAGAGCCGGCGCCAGCCTCCTGTCGGCTTTTGATGTGTTGGCCATCATCAGTATGCGCCCCAGGAGGGAGCTGATGGTCCTACCCATGGACGTGCCGAGGGTGGTGGCTGCCTCGGACGCGGTCTTGGAGGCACCCCGTCAAGGGTCCGGCGGATACCACTTGGTCTTCCAGGACGGTGGCGTGCAGATCCGGGAAGCCTTTGTGGCCGTCATCCCCTCGCAGGTCTATGACATGTGGGGACCGGGCGACCATAAAATAGCCCAGTTGGAGCTATTCATGGTGGTGCACGCCCTCACGGCGAGACCCGACCAATTCCACGGGAGACGCGGAGTGTGGTTCATCGATAACATCGCCAGTCTTATGTGTTTGATCAGGGGCAGGAGTGACAACCCCGACTTGGCCAAGATGGCGACGTATATTCAGTGTTTGCTCTTTGCGTTACGAGCCTCACAATACATTCCATCCAAATCTAATTGGGCCGACGCGATCAGCCGATTAGGACCCAGTGACCCATGGTACAGGGCCAACCACTTCAAGCTGAATTTCAGTCTTTTCCCTCCAGCTCTACTGAGTCTTCCGTACCGCGCAGTGATTACCTTCGCTGAGTTCCTGTGAGTGCATTGGGAGAGGTTGTGAAAGTAAGTGCTTTGGGAGATGTATCCTGCTTGATGCAGGGCATCCAGAGCTTATCGGGGGTAAACCCGATGTGCCGAGGAAATCGGCGAATTGACTGGGCCACAGCATGAGGAAATTCATGCTGTGGATACCAACGCAAATCCCACAGGCAAAGGTGGGTTATCAGACTCGTATAGCATCGCTTGGAGTGAAAATGCTGCGGTGCTGTTTATATCAAACCTCCTTGGGAATGATAACGCGCATAACTACTTCGTCCCTTGTGTGATGTGGTTCTGTCCTCTTGGTTTCATATTCCGCTTTGAAACCCCAAAGAAATTTGCCACACACATGCCCCTATACTCCTGATATCCCTTTTTGGTCCCACCGATTCTGGGGTAAAATGAACATGGTGCATCAGGCTTTGGGCGAACCAGAACCACGCACATCTTTTGAATTATTTTGAACAAACTGTCAGGGGTTTCAAAAGCTTGCCGGCTATCCGGTTGATCCTATGATCATGGGGGCAGACAAAAGAAAGTCCCGAACCAAACCGAACTCTGGCCGAACCCATTCCTGAATTTTCGGGCCCATGGTCTACCAACTTGGCCTTTGGAGCACCCAAGTATTTGCATGCGCCAGTCCAAGGAGTCCACCGACGAGGTCATCCTGAAGCGCGGGCAGTGGTTGGAGGAGCGCGAGCCAAAGGACGGCCCCTTGTGGGTCAAAAAGCTATGGCCGTTATTTGTTAAGTTTGTCTATAGGGCTGGTAAAGACAATAGGGCTGGGTTGGTTGGTCGGTTGATTGGTTGCTTGCTTGCTTGGTTGGTTGGTTGGTTGGTTGGGCAGCCCTCGCATCACCAGCCTTTGGCCCGGGGGTTGCCTGTTGCCTGTGATTGGGAGTTGGGAGTTGCTGGGGGCTGGTGCAAGCTAGGCGCGGTTAGGCTGGCTTAGACCTTCGGGTTCTTGGGGTGGCTTTGGTTGATTTAGGGTGGGTACCGATTTTCTGAAGTTGGAGATCTTGGCTCTATATTAGATTAGTTTTGACTGTCTGAGCTGACAAGCATGACTGGTGTACTCTTGTTGCAGCGCGAGAAGTGAAGCCATAGATGTCCACCACCCAATTCGATTGCGACTCGGCAGTGAGGGGAGCAGGGCATAAAGCTTCCTTTAGCATTCCACGTTGAATGTCACACAGACACATGTCCACCTTGTTTGCATACGTCTACATTAAGGGGAGGTCAGCCCGATTGCTCAACTGCCGAGCGAAAATGGTCCGAGCTAGGACTACGTTAAGTTTCATAGTTTCGGAAGCTAGCTTCTTTAACTCGCTGGCTGACGCATTCCCATTTGACAGGACCAAACCCCGCCACCGCATGCCACCGAGCAGGCTTGTCTGAATGCTTTACCAGGGGCACTTCCACTCGAAGCAGACGGAAACTGTTCCATCGGTACAGCTCGACATCGCAACCCCACATGTCAAAAGGACAGCCTTTGCACTTGGATCTGTTTGGGCTGAACGCGAACGGTTGAGGCCGTTCCGATTTTAGGCTTCCGGCCGGATCGTTCGAAGCTGCGGGCTCCTTGTTTTTTCGGGCCCATTCAGGCTGGCAGCAAAAAGCGCAGGCAAGCTTAGGGTATTTCAGACACAGCATTGCTTTTTACTTTTTGTTTGCCCTTTTCTTTGGAGCCTTCATAGTCGACCAAAATACGATGCCGATTCTGGTTTCCATGAAGCCGTGGTTGTTCAAGCCGGTTGGGAAGGCCAAGCCTAATTACTCACACCGCAGCTGGCCACTCATGAGCTGTGCGAAATCCACTCCCGCGCCGGACCCGACAAAAGTTGTGTATTCAGATGTGCACGACTTCAAGAACTACGAAGAGGCAGGCTATGGTCTGAACCAAGAGGGCTAGAACTAATGGGCATCAGTTTTCCTACTCAGGCAAACAACAATCAGCGCTTTTGAGGCTTGGGGGCTGCAAAACTTCGGGACTCGGGTGTGGCTTCTTAACCTTGCGCAGCAAAGCAGCTTGCCCATTTAGCCTCTTCTCTGCAGGACCGCTACTCGGAAGAGTATGAGTTTCGCTGCTTCGAGGAGGGATTCGCTTGTGCCCCGATGCCGGGCCTGAAGCCGGGAACCCCTATGTTAGAATCCAATTCCGCTTAGTGTTGCACCCGAAACCCAGTCCAGCGATGCTCACAATGTTTCATGTGGGGACCTTTGTCTTGTTGCTTGGTTTCTGTCGGGGTGTGTTGGTTTGGGACTGCATCCAAATAGAGGCTGGAACTGCGCTGCGCCAATCATTCCCTGGCGAAAAACATGCATAATGCGAATAGTTACTCCGTCCCTTCCCCTATGCTTGCTCCCACCGATTCCGGGGCAAAACGAACGCGGTGCATCAGGCTTTGAGCGAACCAGAAACAGGCACATCTTTTGAGCAAGCTTCGAGGGGTTTCAAAAGATTGCCGCGGGTACAAACTTTCGCCTTGGGCTTAAGTTGGCAAATCCAGTCCCCCGCGTCGCTCCTTTGACTTTGAGGCTTTGAGTCTTTGAGTGAGTGCCCGCCGTTTCCTTTCACCTTCACAGGGGATGGCTCTTGAACAGGCTTTTTGTCGGGTCTGCGAAGGATGGAGAAACGGGGGCTATCTGGTTGATCCTATGGCCATGGGCACCACTTCACGAAGCCGGCAGATGAAACAACGGCGCAAACCAAACCAGACTCTTGCCGAACCATTCACGTAATATCGGGCCCATCGTCTACGAAGTATGTGCCACGCTCCTTTACACCCGTTTTGTTTTTTTCTCATGGCCAGGCAACCAACAAAAAAGGATTGGCCGGAAAAGAGGTCACCGCGTGGCGCTTTTTTTCACAGCGCGAGGACGGCTCCTGCGTCTACATCAGAAGGTGCATGGGCCCAGGCCGCCTTTCCACAGAGTCCAAAACCACCGAGACGATCGAGAAGCGTGGGAAGTGGTCGCAGGCGCGGGAAACGCCGAAGCCAACAGCCCTGTGGTCAAAGAAATATGGCCGTTCTCTTGTTCAATTTGTCCTAGGGCTGGCAAAAGCACTAGGGCTGGGTTGGTTGGTTGGTTGGTTGGCTGGGTGATTGGTTGGTTGGGTGGTTGGTTGGTTGGTTGGTTGGTTGGCTTGCCGCAACCCCCACATCACCAGGCTCACGTAGTTGACTGTTGGCTCTGATTGGGAGCTGGGAGTTGCTGGGGGCTGGTGTAAGCTAGGGTGGTAGGCTGGGTCTTGGGGTGGTTTGGGGTTGATTCAGGCGAAGCGAAGCTGACACCTAGGCTGTTGGTTGGGTTTAGGGATTGGCTTTCGGTGGTTTTGGGGTTGGCTTGGAGCTGATTTGTGTTGGGTGTGCTGCTGGCAAAGGTACCAGCAAGTTCCTTTAAGGATGTGGTTGCGTGAGTTTTGGTCTCGTTTAGGATTGGTTTGGGAGCGTTGCCCCAAACCACCAAAACTAGTCCGCAACCACATCCTAAAGCAACACTGAAAGCACCGCGAAAAACCAGCAGCGCATTCAGCACATCAGCTCCAAGCAACATTAGTGGGATGTGACCCATGTGGCTAAGCTTCTGTTTCGACGCAACACCCAAGCTAGGATTTCACAAGTGTTTTACAAAAAGGACTTGGAAGGTGCAAATTGCATGTCAGGCGGCCCCAAGAAAGCTTCTTTGAGACATGCTTCGTTTTTTCGACCTCAGGAAAGAGAGGATTTTAACACGCGAGTCCGAAGCAAGCCCAAATAAAGTTGATTTGGGAGCGCTAAAATTGAACCGCCGAAGCTCTCATTGAAAAGCGGTTTCCACTGGTGGAAAGAGCTGAACATACGATTTTTCAGCCACAGGGCTCATAGTTTTTCATTGCGAGCAAGCACTTTATTTCTGGAAACGTTGCATCTGTCGTCTGCATCTGTCGTTTGCATCTGTCGTTTGCATCTTTCGTTTGCGCGTGGTGCCCCAAATATTACAAGGCGCGGAAAACCACCCCAAAACACCTCCAAACCACTGGCCCCCAAACCGCTCAGAAGTGGACCATGGGATTTGAGCGCCTCACGACTTGGCCAGAATCTGAGACTTAGGGCAGCAAACAGTTTGCGCTTGCCTGAGTGGGGCTGCGCGTTTTCCACTTCCACGTCTTCCAGGTCGAGGATTTGTTTGAATAGGTATGTCAGAAGAGGGCTTGAAAAGCACGCAGCCTTTGCAGCATGTTGATTGGGAAGCCTATTCGCAGGTTTTCGGCTGCAGTGCGAGAGGGGAACAGACTGCTACGTTTGGATCTGGCAGCCGGACCAGTCTGCAGTCCAACTCACTCGCTCGTTCGGATCTACCAGTATTGTACAGGGTTGGGACGGCGCTGATCGAGTACGATTTTCTGACTCGTCGGGCGAGAGGATGACGAGGCAACTATCCAAGCTGCCAAAACAAGAGAGGCGCCCAACCATGTTAACATCAAAAAATGTGTTAACCGAGATATCGATCTTGGGTTGGCGATGACGGGCTTGCCTCCCTTCAAAAGCTTCGAATTTAACTGCCACTCGGATGGAAAGGAGGGTGGCAGTCCCGCCCCCCTCCATTGCTTTGGAATCTTGGACTGGTGCTCGGATGGAAATGAGGGTAGCAGGTCCCGCTCCCTCCACACTCAGCGCTTCGGAATCTCAGAGCAATGTCTAGCAAGGAAGGATTGTTTGCGCTTTCGGCTGCCTGAGAGACCCGTTGTCTGTGATTGGAAGTGCGCACCCGGCGTGATCTTTCCTTTGCTATATCAGCATCTGACGTATGCCTCACATCGCACTTTGGAAGCTGAACACCAAAAAGGCAATCTTCTTCTGCTTGGAGACGTGCGTGGCTGTTCGGGAAGTCCCGTTCAGCCTATTTTTCAAAGGCTCTGCGATTGCAAAAATAACTTGGTCGATTGAAAGAAGTACCATCTTCCTGGCACTCCTAAACCCAGCAGCCATTGTGCTCCACCCCAGCTAGTTCCACAAAGAAAGGGTGGAGCGAGGAGGGCAAAAACACCTACACTGGACATGGAACACTTGCTGCATACTCTCAAAAGCTATGTCAGAAGATCTGGGCTGGTTGACTCGCTGAATTTTCGGGAGTACTTCAACATAAGCAGGCCCATGGCAGTGAATGGCAAAGAACTCGCAGAACTCGTTAAAAGAGGCACAAATTCTGGTTTGCCACCGGCTCCTCAAAGCCATCAACCTGCGACACAAATCACTTTGCTGAAAGAGGCCCTGAAGACTGCGCCAGCGCCAGCAAGGAAAAAACTTTGAAAAGCCTGGTGAAAAGACATGCAAGTAAGCCCACAGCCAATCTTAAGAGGCCAGTCTCGGAGAAGGACGCAGCTCTCGATTGGTTTTGTTCAAGCTCGGAGCCTTTGGGTCCTTCAACTCGGCTTCCATTATGCCACAGTGTCTTCATAGTTGTAAGGCTTCTTGTACGCTACTTGGCGGGTGTCGTTTTTTCAACAGTGCCCCATTTTTGTGGCTTTAAAGGAAGGCCTTGTCTTTCCTTCGTTTTTTTGTTTGGGGGGGGGAGGTCCTAGAAAAGACACACCCAAATCTGGCAAATTTTGGCGCGACACATGGGAGGGCGACATAGTTGCTAAAAAGGCTGTCCCATAGTCATGAGACTACATGTGGGTTTCCAGAATGCAGAATTGCAATTTTTCGCGGCAGGAGGATGGCAGGATGAAGCCTCAGTGGCACACGATCGAGAAGTGAGGCTTGAAAAAGCATCTTGGCCCTATTTAGACTTTTTGGCTGTATGAGCTGACAAGTACGACTGGTGTACTCGTGCAGCGCGAGAAGGGAATCCATAGATTTCCACCACCCAATTCGATTGCGACCTCGGCAGTGTGGGGAGCAGGGCATAAAGCATAAAAGCATTTTTAGGATTCCACTTTGGATGTCACAGAGACACATTTCCACCTTGTTTACATACGTCTAAGGGGGGGGTCAGCCCAACTCTTCAACTGCCGAGCGCCACCTGCTGGATCAAGGCTGTCCTGCCCGAGACATGGTGGGTTCCCCATGTCGTGAGCAACGGCCAGAACCGATTTCAAGTGGACATGCTAGTTTTTCCGGATTAACTCCATTCGGGGCACACAGAGGAGAAATCTCACCACTAACTTGGCCGACTATGTTGAGTTCCATGTTTTTTTTTGTTGGTTGGCTGTCGTATTCACATTTGACAGGACCAAACCCCGCCACCGCACGCCATCGAGCAGGCTTGCATGAATGCTTTACCAGGGACACTTCCACTCGAAGCAGACGGAAACCTTTCCATCAGTACAGCTCGACATCGCAACCCACTTGTCAAAAGGACAGCCTCTGCACTTGGATCTGTCTGGACTCGACGCGAACGGTGGCCGTTGTGATTTCGTGGTGTCAGGCTGCATCCTTCGAAACCGCGGGATCCACTGCGCGGGCTTTTCGCGCTGGCAGCAAAAAAGCGTTCCTGCCAGACACGCATCAGTGCTTTTACTTTTTCCCCAACAGCTGAAAGCCAAGGCCCAGGTTTTATCTGGGGGCGGGGTTCTGGAGCGGTGTTCCAGGTTCCGGAGAGTCTGGAGGGGCGCAGGTTCAAGCCAGCTGCTCAAAGGTTCCGGAGGTTCCGGCTGAGTTGCAAGGTTCCAGGTTCAAGGTTCAAGGAAGTTTCTAGAGGTCCGGGGTGGCTTGGTGCAGGCCAGGTTCAAGGAAGGTTCCGGAGGTTCCGGGTTCATGTAAGGTTCGAGCAAGGTTCCGTTCCGGAGGTTCCGCAGCAAGGTTCTGGGTCAAGGTTTGGGATGGCAGCTTTGGAGTCAGGTTCGGGGTGGACGGGACCAGGCGGGGTGGAAGGTGCTTCAAGCAGTTGTGGTTCAGGGCTCATGAGCATGGAGGACGGACAGGGCCAAACATTTGCCCCATGCCCTCTTGGGAAACACGAAGTCTTTGGGCAAACTCGATCGCGACCACGTAACGGGGGGGGGTAGACAGTTCCTTTCAGTGGACTCCCTCCTTGCAGTTTCAACTGAGTGTTTCCAAATAGAGATCAGTCATCAACGCTGCTATCCACATCAATCCGCCAGAAAAAGTGGAGATCTTGGGAGATTTCGGGGTGAACAAGCGACACAGGCCGATTCTGGGACATGCTCTCCCCTCCCCCAAATCTCATTTGTAAAGGTCCGCCTGCCCGTATCAGAGTTGTCCTTCCCGAAACATGGCGGGTTCAGCCCAGTTTACATTTGGATGAGTCCGAGCTCGACGCAACCCCATGGCCGAACAAGCTGGCGGTGTTTTCGGGCCGGACAGGCAAGCAGAAGCCAAAAGCAGCAATTTTACTATGGCCGCAGCTCGTCAATCCCTAACAATCCTGGTGAATCGGTGGTCCCAACCAGGATTTTGCCATAGACAACCCGCTTCGCAGTTCCTCGCAAAGGGGGGGACTCACGCAAATGCCATCTTTCACCCAACTGTGTTTGATTGGTGGTTTCCTTCGCCATGTTGGATTTCCAAATGGCTTATGCGGGCGGCCTGCTGATCAGAAAGGATATAAACCGTGCTTAAAAAGCAAATCACGTGAAGAATTGCACTGCATGACCCAAATACGGAAATACGTGAAGCTCCAACAGTACCACCTTTAGAACCAGGCTGCAACCTCCAAACGACCACCAAACGACCACCGCCAACCAATTTCCGACCACCTTCCGACCATGCTCCGACCACCTCCGACAACCCTCCGACCACTCTCCGACCACCTCCGACCACCCCGACCACCTCCCGACCACCTCCCGACCACCTGCGACCACCTCCCGACCACCTCCCGACCACCTTCCAACCACCTTCCAACCATCCCCGATTAGCCTTCAACCACGCAAGGCCACAGTGACGGGAACAGGCCCAAAACATGCCAAGTTCGCCGTTTGGGGCTACGTTTAAGGAAAAGTGGGATTGAGCTTTCTAATAATAAATTTTGGAAATCCAACACTTCGCCAGTTTATTTTACAGTCGGCGAGGGTGAAATTTTGCAAACGCAAGCGCGTGGTGTCTACGTGTCATTGAAGTTGCTCTGAGAACTGGACATATCGGCGTGTACTTGGCACTCAAAGCCAGCACGTTGTCTTCCATGTTTCTTAGAGCAGATTTCTTGGCGGTTTTGGACCTGTTTCTGATGTAAAGGATTCTCTTTTTTGGGGGACACTTGTTTTGGGGTTCCAGGTTAGATTTCCTTTGTCTGCTCATCAAGGAGGGTCAAAAGGCACATGATGGATGAATTTGCAACGCCGACAAGGTAGTGCTTGCCTACGTCACTGATTTTGAGACAAATATTTGGGGCTGCACAACGAAGCACATGATTATCTTAAGGTTGACTTAATTTGTTTCAGAGTGCCCCGCAACCCCAATTACATTTATCTTGGCTCTTATAGTGCTGGGTTTGAGCAAGTTTGCCAGGGGAGCAAGTTTTTGGTGGTGCCCACGTAGGTTGATTGCCAACGAGTACTCCCAGCTTGACAAAAGGAACCATGCATGTTAAGCATAGAAAGCAAATGTGTTGAGCTGTTTCCTTTGTTTGCTGTGTTGTTTGCGGAGTCAACACGTTTTCGATTGACCGAACCGGGGGAGGGGGTACGGCTGATTCTCTAAAAAAGGCAAGTAGCAAATCAGTTGATTCACCATGACTTCTCTAACCTTGGAAAGTTGAAGGAAAGAGAGTGTCAGAAAACCTCAACGTGTGGAGACAAAATTCCAAGACAGCCCTCAAATGCCGTTTCAACATCGATCGCATGCCGGCTGGCAGTTTCAGTTTTCCACCCCTCCCAAGCCCATTTGCAGGCGACAAATTCACAGAGTGAGAGTCCCGCGTTGCGCCCAGAGTAACTAGAACCGATGTTCTCTTCGTGGGAGATCTCTGAAATCTAACAAAAGGTGTACTCATGCTTTGCTGTTTCCTGGCACCCGTTTCGATCTCATTGGTTTGGCTAAGAGAGCTTCCGGGTGGCTTTTGGGTCTCCTCCGTTTGGAGTAACGATCCTATCTTTGGCTCGGCTCAACGCAGCAGCGCGCTTGGGACTTTGGCACCCCGGAATCAACTGTTGCAACGTTGTTTCGTTTGATATGGGTGACAACCACCTTTTTTAGAAGAACCAAGCAAACAAACAGACCAAAACAACCTAGCCCACAAGCGAAGAAGCAAAAAGCAGCAAAAGACAGATAGAAAGAATGAAAGACAGAACAAAAGAAAAGAATGAACCAGACAAACAAACCAAAAGGCCCATGACGGCAGGCGCGTTTTGGCCCAGTATGTGTGGGCAGGGCTCCCATGATCCCTGCACCAAGCTGCTGGTGGTGGCGGTTACGACAGCCTTCTGCTTCTTTCTGCTAAACGCCATCTGCAGGCGCCCAGAAAGGTGTTGAACGACACGGATGAGGAAATGTGGCTGTGGGTCAAAACCAATGGTACCATTTTGGGGTAGGTGCACCACCCGTTTTAGTCTATTTCAGTGGGGATTGGGATGTTCATTGGGGGCACGGGATTTTGACCCATGGCCATGTCGTGGCAATAGGTTAGGTTGAAAGATTGCGGGCTGCCTGCCGCCTTAGTTAGTCGTTTGGATTGGTCACTTCCTTTTGATGGCACATGGGGTTTGATATCCCTCAAAATTTTAACCAAGCACAAGTTTGGGATAAGTAATCTGATTAAAGGAATTTGCGCCAGTTGAAACATCACTTCTATGTTCTAACCATTGGCAGGCGGTTTTTGGACGTATCCTATTTTCGAAATCGCTACGCAATCCGCCGAATCCAGCGGGGTACAAAAGATTTCGAGACCTTTTTTATTGGGTTGGCACGAGGTGATAGAAGTTTGTGGCTGATTGTAACAAAAGGGGAAATTCTGTCCAGAAACTCTCTCAGAACTAGCCGAAAACTATGGTTCCCAAGGTGTTGTTTTGGGCAGTGGCTCGTTTGGGCAGCTGCTCTTTGTTTTTGATGATTGTATACTTAGAAAAAAGAGGAGTGCTGCCCGGCAACTCTCTCAGACATAGCGTTGTTCGTTTGGGCAACGGCTCACTGTTTGTGGCTCGCTGCAGGGCTTTTGGACACCCAGCACACCACCCAACAAATGGCAGCCCCGAAAGCCTTCAGCATTTAAGAAATTCTGAAGGAAAACTACAGTGAGCTGTTGCCCAAAAAGGCCCCTTGGGAACCAGCCAGTTCGAGACTTTCCGGACCGCGCTCCTCCTTTCTGTCGAACGTGTAGATGGCAGTCCGCAACTTGGCTCATGCTATGCTTCAAAAAGAGGTGCTGCGCCAAAACTCTTTCAGAACTGGCCAAAAACTGTGGTTCCCAATGTGTTTTTTTTGAGCAGCGGCTAATTGTTTTTGAGTCGTGTGCTTTAGAGAAAAGGAGTGCTGCGCCGAAACAGAGCTGGCAAAAATAATGGATGCCAATGTGTTTTTACTCGCCCAAAACTGCGGTTCTCAAGGTGTTTTTGGACAACCCAGTACTTGATGCTGATTGCATGCTTCAAGAACAGGAGTGCTGTAGCTGCAGAACGAAGGTGCCAAAACAAGGCCGAATTGGCACTTTCGCGACAGTGTCGGGTTTTTGAGTTTTGCAGCGCGCATTTTGAGCCGTAAAACGTGTCCCAGGACGCCCTGCCACAAGAAGGCCTGGCGCTTTCCTATTTGTCGGTCAAACATGCCCAGATGCTGAGAATGCTGGAAATGCAAGGAATGCAACCACACAACGTGCAGGAACAGATCCAATCTTCGCATCCAAGATTTCAAGATGTTCAGACGCGCAAAATTGACCAAACACAGAAAATACCAGAAATGTCGGGAATGCTGGGAATGCAGCTGGCTGGCCACAAAACAGTAGTTCTTTTGACATTTCCCAAATCAGCCATCAAAAGCAAACACTAGCACCCCCACCTCAAATACCCTAAAAATGACTTCCCAAAAAAACACGATAATGCAGCGCAGTACCTGCTCCGCACAGGTGGAGAAATTGCAAAACACACTCATAGATGCAAGTTTCAACAGTTCCTCCAAGTGTCACTCCACTTGCCCCACCTAGAGCCCTAACAGGCCAATTCCATCATGGCCTGAAACGCGAAATTGGATTTAAAGGCCTCCAGAGCCAGGTGGTTGGCTGGTCTTCGGAGCTTTCCTCACTTTGGGACCTACGAACCCACTCAACATATCCGGTTAACCTTCTTCTTTCCCACCAAAATTCGCATCGGCTGGGCGAAATTGGAAGGTTTTAGAGGGACCTTCAAAATTTGAGCCAAGAACCTTGCTTCCGTGGCAGCGTGGTACTTGAACCCCAGGTTCGGCCAAGTCTGGGTCTCTGGGGACCAAGCCAGGAGACTTGTAGACTCTCTTATTCAGGGCCATTGAAAACAACTGACTGTGACCAAGATTGCATTGGACAAGCTGATCAATGATCAAAACATAAAACGGCAATGAATTTGAGGAGTTGGAGCCACCTCAAAAGCGGTTTACGAACATGAAGTCCCACCGAAATGATGTGCACCAGAGCGTGCCCAGTAGAAGGTTGGACGCGTTCCGTCGCATTCCCTTTACCAGGAGCCACAATGTCCACCAGGTTTTTGGAGACCCCTGTTGGAAGATGCGCAGTAACCTTAAACGGGAAACTGTCGTGAAGCTTTTTCATTCAGCTGCGCTAAAGATTGGTCAGAAACAAAAATACAGTTGGAAGCCAACAACTGAAGTAGTCAAGGCTTGAGCAGGTGTTGATTAAATGCGGTTGTTCGAAACGAAAGAGTGGAGTAAGAACGTGGAAACTTCTGGGAATGAAAGGTTTCCAACTTAGTGCAACAATGTGTTGAGAAACACGTCTTGACCCATTGGCGCCGGCAGCCGTTTCGTTGCGCAGGCAGTACTGGGGCGCCTGGACCTTTGAAGACGAGGCGCGGGCCCAAAACGGGGAAGTCTCCGAGAGACAAAAAAATCACAAGCCACACTATGAAAACCCTGTTTTCCCTCCGTGTAGAAGATATGTGCGAACATTCAATTTCAGACTGCCATTTGTTTTAAGCAGAAGGATACGGAGTACGACATCATGTTGGTGATCATACGCCTTGAAGGTTGGAACTGCAGTCACGCATGCGGAGCACGGGTCCGTGGAAGCATTGGGCAATGACCGGCTGCGCATCAAAGAAACCGGGGTGGCTGGTCTTGCAGGGTGGCTGGGGCTTTCAACCCGCCATTCGGACGTCACAAGTCTCAGAAAAACCGGAGGGAGAGCCTTGACCGGTGGTATTTTTGTATTTGGCGAGCTCCCATTCCCAGACATTTTGTTTGAAACTGCTTTCTCCGAAAAGGATCAAAGTAAAGCGGCCTTTGAGGTTTGTGTATTGTTCGGGCCTCAAAATCTTAGCTTCCCCCTCGTTCGTGGCTTGGGGCCCGGTGATTTGGGTGGTTTCCCATGTACCCACAAAAAACCACCAAGCGGGGAGCTGACTCTACATAGGTCCTATTTTGCTCCTCATGGTAAGCCAACTCAACCAAGGCTCCAATGGTCCAACTCACCAACCAGTTGGCCCAACCAGTCCTAACCCACCTGCCGCCGTTTTCTCTCCCCCTCGTTTCCCGCTTTCCCGGCGGTTTTCATGGTTGTTGGGAGACATGTTTCCCATTTTTGATTGAGTGGTTGAAATCCAACCACTGAACTGCTAAAATTTGAGAATTTGGGCTCCCCTTTAACGTCGACCGAGTTTTCCCAGCGCCAGGTCTTCGGCTGGGAGTCCGTGGAGTGGCTCCAGACGGAGTGTCAGGTCCTGGCAGCGGGCGTCAGCTGCATCAACACCCGGGACACCAACCGAGAGGAACGGCGGCGAAAAAGCGCCGCCAACGGCGGCTTCGACGATGGGCCAAGGGGTTTCTTGGGGGCCAAAGCGGAAAGGAAGAGGGACTTGGCAGGTTTGGAGTTGTGTTTCTTTTCTTTCTTGGGTGTGTGGGTATGCCTGGGTGGGTGTGTGCTCTTATTTCGAGGCTGCCTTTTGTGGGGTTGGTTTAGTGGGAAGCCAAGAAATCAAGAGGAGCCAGCCTGAGGTTGGGCGGAAGCCTTGGAACAACTTTTGTTTGAGCCCCTCTTTGGCCGTCCATCATGTTGAAAGGCTCACCTGTTTATTTGTTTGGTTTGCTCCGGCATTTTCCCTCAAAGGTTAAAAGTTATAACTGGTTGCAGGGGGTCTAAGTCTAGTTAAGAAGCCAGGCGATTCGTGATCCACGGGGGAAAACGACGGGTGGGTGTTTTTTAGGTTCATTTTGAGGGGGGCAGGTTTCAAGAAAACCCAAAGGGAGGGAAGGTGGCGTTAAGGGTCTGTGTGCGTTTGTGTCTGAAATTCCTGGCTCCATGACCATCTGCCAACCTCAAGTACAGAGGCTTGTGACTATGGCACATATGGTTGCTTGGTTGGAGGCTACCCTTTTCAGCAAAGCCAAAAGCATGGACCACCCAAGAACGGTTGAAAGCCTTTGTGAGCCATTAACCCCTGGTTTTTTGCTTAACCCTTGATTGAATGTTTGAAAAAAGCCTGGCTTTTAGTTTCCGAGAACTGTGACGAACTATTGGGTTTTCAAGTGCGAAGCTTGGATATGGGCGTGTTGTTTTTTGGCGGTACCCCCTCTTTAAGTTGTAAAGGAAAACTAAATTGTTGGGGGGTCCCCCAAAAATGACGCACCCATATTTACCAGACAGATCAGGAGGAGTGGGGTCTTTGCAAAGACGACGACTACGCCAATGCGACTTTGCTGTCTTCGCAGCCTCCGGTCTTCTCGGTGTGGCAAAGGGCGGTGTGTCCGGGCACATTTTGGTGTGCCAACGAGCATGAGCCGTGCGCCTGTCAGGCGGGCGTTGGATGTTCGTTGAAACCGGGGTCGATGTTCGGTGCTTGGGTGTGCATAGAAT